TTAAGTGTATTAAAGAACGACATGCAACTTTTCAATGCTTAACTGGAAATACTTTTTCCTTTTCACTGACTATGACATATTATCATGGTTCGGTTGAATGAATGAATGTCAAAAATTAGCTCAAAAGCATACCGAAAAGGGGATGACGATTATTAAGTAGTAGTAGTAGTGGTAGTAGTAGTAGTAGTAGTAGTAGTGGTATAGGATCATAGCGTAAGACATGCAATACACAATAAGGCAATGTGTTATAATAGCAATAATATGAACGTAAAGAGTAATCAACACCAACTGCGTGTAAGCGAGCAAGTCACTGTTAAGCAGGCCATAAACAAAAGTAACAAACACACGCATGCACGCGCACGCAAAACATGCCTGAACATAGAATACATAGGATATGACATAAGGGGCTAATTATTATAAAATATAGGCGTGTTTGTCGGTGTCAAAAAGTTAAAAGAAAAAAAAAAAAAAAAAAAACCAAATTATATTCACAGAAACCACAAAGAAAATTGAAAACAGAAATATATCAAAACGTTATGAAGCGAAAATTTAATAACATGTACACGAAAAAAAAAGAAAAAAAAAGAAAAGTGTTTTAAGGCCAAACTCACGGCACTTGAGCAGAACATTGCAAAAAAAAAAAAAAAAAAAGGAATTGCATTGGGCCCAAAGAGCCAGACATTTATATAAAAATTTATTAAAAGCTCAAGTGCTTACAAGCATTCGCTGACAGAGGCAAGAGTGATAAAGGCACGCACGCATACATGACCACATTTTCATAAAGGATGCAAGCGAATCAATCCATCTTACTTATATAATGAAAGTGACAGCATTTGTGAAGCCGCTTCGAACTTGTTTTTTTTTTTTTTTTTTTTTTTTTTTTTTTATTAAGGGTGTTTTTCTTTCTTTTAGGCTTTTATTAAATTTCAAATCATTTCAAGTTTCGTTTGCAATTTTTTTTTTTTTAATATGTTGTTAAGCAAAAATTCTTTAATGCATTGTTGAGTGGCCACTTCGCTTACAACTCATAAAGTACTTATGATATATATATATTTGTGTGTTATACTAGAAAAAAACAAAAGACAAAAAAAAAAAAAAAAAATTGAAACCATTTTTAATTTATATATGGAAACGGCAGCTATTTAATTCAAACAAACATGCATACATTCGGTTATTCGTTCATTCATTTATTCCACACTTCGTGTGCGGTTTTTAATCAGACAACTATACTACAATTTTATACTCATTGATATAAAAATATATGTATATGTATATATGTATATACACGACGAACGCAATTTTATATAAACATAACATTCCGTCTCATAATATGAGCAAGTGTTGAATTTAATTGAATTTAATATGCTGGCGGTGTGTTGGGTGTACCGCAATACTCGCATAATTTACTTTTAGTTTATATTTTATGGTGGCTGGCAACACAATATCGTTTGCAGTTTTTGTTTTCTGTTTTTTTTTTTCTGTTTTGTGTATTTTTTCGAAAATTGCAACAATCATCATCAGACTTATGCAGATTTATACAAATATATATATATATATATATATATATATATATATATATATGTACAGCGGCAATAATTTCTTTTACATTACTAACCATTGTTCGGGTTTATTATAAATTTGCATATAACGCCACAGTGTTCAGTTTATACGTTTCCCTCGCTAGTGATTTATTGATATAACGCGTGTCGTCTCGTTCGGGGCATATGTGTGCGTTTGCACGTTCATTAATAATAGGTGTTCCAAAATAAATTCATAATTTAATTCATTGATCAGAGATACATTTTATAATTTACAACAGAGATAAGTACAGACAGGATCCACGAAAGTTTACTACATTGCTTGGACGACATTTTAGTCTGAAACAAAACAGTACTGCTCGCATTTCATTGCCATAATACATAGATGTTAGAAATTCCTGATTGGAAATATTTGAACAGTAATCCAATGATTTTAATTGTGAAAAATAAATTTCATCAAAAGCAGTTATCGATTAAACAAATCAAACAATTTATTATTAATTGTTATTATAACTTAGTTAGAAATAACGTGTGAAAGTTGGATTAACAGGAAGCGGTAGACAATAGCCTGCTCAGAAGTGATTAGAAAAGCGCTAGATTGATTACTAGAGAAGTAAAGTGTAATGTAAGCGGGTGGAATGATCCCAATAACGGGCGACTGATTAGAAGGGATGTAAACTGCTTAGGAAGAGTAGGTTGCTAAGAAAAGCTGAGATTGTTTAGGAAAATGCAAGGTTGACTAAATGCATACATCTGGGCTAAGAATACTGCATCAAGCCTGGTTAGCAGAAAACCTTATATAATTATTTACTCAGTACCGACTTAGTTAAGTAGAAAGAAGCTAGAGTAATACTGTGACAATGCTAGTTAGCAGAAAGCAATAAGCAATAGCATGCTTAGAAATGATTAAGTTGGTCAGAAAGGCGCTAGATTGACTATTAGGTGAGTAAAAGAAGTACGTGGTACAGAGGTGCGTCAATGGTTTAACATACGTGCCTACTTGTTAAGGTTTAACCCTACGGTGCCCGCTAGCACACGTAGTGAGGCAGGGTGACTCACGCCCCACAGGGAGCAGGGAGGCTCCCTGCAGTTCCAGATCAAGGGCATGTGCCCTTCCCTATGACGGGGGCGAGGCCTACCTAACACCCCAAATATTTAATGTTCCCGCGATTTTGCGGGCAACTACAGCCACCACGAAACTCCCCTAAGAGCCGTCCCAGCAGTCGGGCAGAACACCCACACTACGACGATTCTGCCAGCGATTCCCTCTGCGTGGAATTGCTGGAATTGTGGGTCCTCTACCTGTATGTGATACAAAAAGAGCGGCTGATTAAAAGGAATCTAAGCTGCTTAGAGAGAGCTGGCTGTTAGGAGAAGCTTAAGCCGATTAGAAGAGATCGTGACAGACTAATGCGAAGCGTTTGCTTAGAAAGTTTTAAGTTGGATTTTACAAACTGGCACTTCCTGGAAAGTACTAAAAACAGTCTGAAACGATGTCTAGCGACTTTGAAAGCTTAGACTTACGAACATATTTAAAAAACCATGTATAAAAAATTGGAGACTAAAAGTAAAAAAAAAATGCATAAAGTTCTTCCAACAGAGCTTCTAATAAGGCTAAATCTTCACCAGAGAAATTTTTGAGTTTGCCCGAAAGAAAATCATTAAACTCTCCTTAGGAACATCGCCATAAACTCGGTTCCCCCTCAACTGTGCACTTAAAGGGACCACGAAATCTTAACATTGATACCTACGTTTCAGTGCCTTCTCAGTTTTAAAGGATTTCAGAAACTATGTTGATCTATGGCAGTCATAAAGTCTGCATAATGTTGCCACGCAGCTACCTTTGGGAATATTTAATCATCGCGATGTCATTTTCATGCTGAATGTAATCTGAACATTAACAAGTCTTGCAGCCGTCGTTACTTGTCATAGAGCTGAACCGTTTTGAAAGAACATCTCCCTGATAACTATATAATCAGGTCACTGAAAACATGAAACCATAAGTTCATTTTGGAAGACCTTTTGCATATATTTATGTAAATATGTCCATATTGCAATAAATTATATTTTATTCCAAAGATAAAGATAACGCAAATATGCCGGAATATGACGACATAAACTGACTGGAGGAGAGAAAGATTTTCACCACAACGCGTAGAGGTAAGCCAAAGTAAAATAGATGGTAAAAAGCTCTTCACGAAATTCAGCTAAAGCATTCAAATTTAACTTGAAATACAGAGGCTTACGAGAAACTCATCGAAAAATGTTCCTTTAAATGAAAAGTTTTAGGTTAAACATAATGAATTCATATTTGTTCAGGGTTAGGGGATAGAAGTAGGAAAAAAGGCGAATACCTATTGAGAGCGAACAAATTTCTTATTTATTTTCTCTACTCCCATAAGATTCTTTAGTAGGGTAATTTTCTCTTTGTGATGAGTATAGAAAGAAGAACGTACGTTCTGCGCTCTAGAGAAAAAGTTTACACGTTCGGTTGTTGCTCGTGTTAAGCCTCAATTTTGTTTTCAAATTTGGAAATTTATATTCACTGCGAGTTATCTGGGCAGGGTTTGGAGAAGACCGTACAGCTGGTATATAAAATATGTCATCACTGAAACCACTAATGTCGTTAGTTGACGGAAGTCATTCTATGATTTTTCTCTTCTTATTTTTCTTTCTTTACCATTCTACTCAACTTTTAACTAAAGTTGCTCAATGATTTTCCAAGCTTTTTTCGATCTTTAAATATTTCACTATGATTAACGCCTTACGGCACAATGAAAGAATGCCTTGAAAACACCCACCACAAAGGATATTTCTGGTAATTTATTGTATATCATGCAATACATTTACTGAAAATAGGCTCTGAACGATTGGGTCGCACGGAAATTGTTAGCTCATAAAATAATTGCCAAAGTCTCTTCTACGGCAAAGTTGATACACAACACCGTGAAGTTCTCGTTCTTGATTTATTGCATATTACTAGATATACTTTTTGTTCTCGATCAGTTCAGGCTTATCTTAGTCGAAACGAAATCTTTATTCACACGCTTTAATCTTTCTGCAGACATTACGATGATGGCTACGTGCTCTGTTTCTCACTGTATATACATTCTCTACATGGAATGACACAATGGGAATACACATACGCATCAACAACGAGTTCTTACGACAACTGCTCGACCATGCGCCTTGCCATTAAGACTTGCTGTTTTGTGACTTTTTCGCATCCATGGGAAAAAATCCTAGACCTCCCGAAAAGAGTAGCAGAAGAGCGACAAAAAAGCAGCCATTGAAGGCCAGTAAAGCTGACTATGAGAAATGATGCGAAAAGATTGAAAGACGTATAAAGTGAAATCGAAAACACTTCACAAAACACTTAAGAAAAATAAACCGTGTAAATGCTAGACATACGATTAACCCATGTATCTTTGAGGTAGCATAAGATTCATTTAATTTATTTACCTGTATTGCAGCTCGTGCACCTCGACTAATCGCCGGCATAACGCTTGTATGGAGAACACATTGTTTCTTTTGGCCGTAAGTCATGCCTTCCACTTGATAACAATTATCGGGATTCAAGTCTATCGGTTCGGAGTAAGGCTCAACAGTAGTAGTTGGCGTACTTGAATTAACTGGAAGCATACCAAACTGTTCAGCATTGGACAAAACAAAATCTCGACCATTTGCTGCTGATAGAGCAGCATCACGGTCTAAAAAAGCCCCGGAAGTACCATATTTGGAGGCGAATTTCTCATTCGAACGTCCCGTTAAACCGCCACCAATGTTCCGTCTTTTATGAGTTGAACGCACAAAACGGGAGAGAATTTGTAAATTTTCTTCAACTGCTCTTTGCTTAGATGATTCACTTTCATTGAAAGGTATTTTGAAGGAATCGGGAATTTCGATAGATACCGCAAAGCGTTTAGTATTATTCAAGGTTTGCAAATACGGTTCGTAGCGCGGCATATATTTCTCTTGTTCACGTAATAATTGTTCGCGATCACGTTGTCTTTGTAGCTCTTCACGTTTACGTTGCCGTACACATTTTGGCGAATCGGGATTTCGTACACAGGGCGGTAACTTTGTAGGTTTCGTGGGACGTCTAGTTGTTGTAGTTGTCGTAGTTGTTGTAGTTGCGACCGTCGTACTAGTTGTCGTTGTAGTTGTCGTAGGTAAAGGCAGTATGCTAAACGATTTTTTTTTATCGTTTCGGTCCTTGTTTTGGTCGTTAAGCAATAAAACTTGCGGCACAATAGCGATTTTATCTCTTGGATTGACAGGAGCAAAAAATTGTGATAAACTATCTTCGTCGTCTTCGTTTTGATTATGATAGTAGCCACCAAAGGGCGGTACTTGCGGTATTTTACTGTTTATATTTAAAGTAGATTTTCTAGTGGGCGGTATAATTGGTGCTGAGTACTGAAATATCGGTCTAAACGGAGTACGTGTAGTTGTTGTCGTCGTTGTCGCCGATGATGAATTTCGTTGTTTGTCTTTTTGTAAACTAGGAAACACTACAAATTTCGATTGAAAGGTACTATCATGTTTGGTTAGATTTTGTAAAAATAATATATGCTTCTTGAGATCTTCAATATTGGACGCAAATTCGGGTGTAGCAGGTGTTGTGGACCGTTGCTGTTGTTGTTGTTGCTGCTGCTGCTGCTGCTGTTGCTGCTGTTTGTTGGTCGTTGTAATAGGTGCTCTTGTGGTCGTGCTAGTCGTAGTAGTCGTACCACGAAATGTAGCCTGAGCCCATCGGGGATCAGGTGAGGCATTCTTCAAAGCCATAGGTACTATAAATTTACGATCTTCATCGGTTAAACTGGCCGGCAGACCGTTCTCATCCGTATCCTCATCCAAGAGAATAATCTGTTTCTGATCCATTTCTTCTTGTATCGGATGTAAACGACGTTGCGTTTGCGGGCCATAACTGCCCGGTGAATACACTTTCTTTGTCAGATCTGCCTTAACATATCCGGTCGCTGAGTCCCGTAAATCAACCGGTTTAATAAAAGTGCCCAACTTACGTAAACCCTCTTGATGCATAAGAGCTTGCTCATCTTTAGTAATATTCAACGGTATGCTGTTATTCGCCAATATTTCTAATTCATTGCTAAACTCGATAAACGGTGACTTAAGGCCTAGACAACTGCAATGAAAAAATATACAAAAAAAATAATTAATTAAATATTTTATAATTCAAAATTCTAGATATTCATTGTTTTGCGATAATCGTCGCTGAATAGAAATAAAACGCAGTTAGTTCTTTTAAGGAGTAGTAAGATTAGATTAGTAAAAGAGAATAAAAACGTTTAAGACAAAAGGAAATCAGAATAGAAAACAGCAATCTACAGAGTTGTATTTTTAAATGTTTTTTTTTTTTTCTTTTCTTAAAGATGGATGGATTTAGCCTGTTGAGGATAAGATCATATTCTTCATTGATCCCATTGAACTAAATATATGATGCTGTATGAAAGCATCGATGTGACAGGTCCCCTTTCAATAGAAGGCAAAAGTATATGTACTGACAATCACTTATGTACTGAATGCAAGCTTCGGCTGTTGAGGAGTATATTAATTGGCCGATTGACGTAATACTTGAAATTTGATTAGTGTTAAACTAAGAAGCACAATCAGCTGTTTTGAGAAAGAAAGTCAACTGCCAAAGATGCGTATTGCTGACAGAGCGGAAGTTATTATACCTTGAAAAGATTGCAGTTAATGAAAATGTTGAAAGTAGATCTAATGTTATCAGATTTTTTATAGCTGAAAATGAGACGTTTAGCTGATTTTCTGTTACGCTATTCTTCACATTCATCAGTTGGCACATCTCCGATCCCATATAAGCGGACATTGTTACTTGGGTGATTACTCATAAATCTGTGGAGTATTTTAACTTCTCCTGTCGTAAAGATCACACTACACTGGAAGTCAAAGATTATGAAGAGACGAATCTTATAAAAGACATTATCAAGTTGGGCCCTTGCTATCTTGTGATCCTTCCAGTTTTGCCTTCCGATCAAGCGTCATGTTTCTTCGAATCAGGCGAGGGGTAAAATTTAAAAAGTTAATAGCATTTATATGGAACACAATGAACGCACTCTGCCTTCTAGCCATCACAAGAGCATCTGAAATTTTGTTCCCTTTTATTCGTTTGCTTCAAAAATTGTATTAAAAGGGGTTAATAATAAATTGTCTAAATTTCTTTTACTTGTAATGATAAAGTTTCTCGCAATTATTTGGCTTATTTCTGACGTGCTTTTGAAAAAAGTTTGTTAGAAAAGAGAGTAAAAAAAATCACGGTTAAGAAAAAAAAAAAATGTTTATATTCTTTTAATATAATAATCATTTTTTGATGTTTTCATTATCTTCCTACCATGACGGAGTCTTAAGTTAACCATTACCTATGCGACATAACGTAGGTCGACATTGAAACAGCAAAATAAGTTAAACGCCATGAAAGTTCAAGTATGAAAATCCCTTTTGTTGATTCAAAATTCAAAATAATAATATTCAAAATTTTTAAAATTAATTCAAATGAATCTTCTCTGCCTTCCTTTTTATACTTGACTGGAATATTTTAATAAAACTTATTTTAACGGGTTAATTTTTTCATGGATATTATTGTAGCAGTTAACTAACGAGTGTATAATTTATGCATTTTACATTTGATTATTTATCACTGACGTCGGTACAATTGCTTTAAGCATAAATGAGAGAAAGTATACTAAGGCTGCTATTCATTTTGTAACAAGTTAGCACGCATCTCGCATTTCACTGAAGCGCAAAAACAGGTTAATGGTTTTGGCGATTGGGCTACAATATTGTACGATTGTAATGAGCATAAGGAGAAGGATAAGTAAAGCTTTCAATTCATGCTTCAGCAGGCTGCAATCTATTCTTGATCTTTCGAAGTCTTCTTTTTTCCAACACTAGCTTTACAGAGCTATAAGCAGTGGATTTTGTTTGCTATCTTAAATTTCTTCTAAACGATTATTGATTATAACGAAATGATTGCCTCAGCAATGTGAACTTTAATCACTAAAAATTTTTAAGCTTAACTATGCGTTCGAAAGTTCGCTCTTGCATATCACAAAACAACAAGAAGTAATGAGCTGGCGACGAGGAGCAAACTGCTGCTGTATTTGCTAGTAAGCACGCCCACAACAACTCTGAAGCAAACAGCACTGTTTTTTTTCTTTAAGACAAAGCAAGTAAAAATATTATTGTGAGACAGGATCAGCCTTCAAATAGCTTACACCATTTCGCTTAATGCATTTATTCATATAACGACTTTTCCAAACAAGTTATTATAGGGGAAGTGCTCGAAAAAGTGGTCCGATCGAAACCATTTTAGATAGGATTTGTTCTTGGGTAAAAACACGCCAGTGGACCAAATTTCATTAATATGTGCCAAGATGTGCTCTTTATAGGTTGAACACAAGAAAACAAGAGGTACAGACGGATCGACGGACGAGCTAACTTGTACACACTTCCTTAATCGATCGGTATAATAAATGGAGGGTCTACCCCGAGTTCTTCTATGTGCTGCAGACATTCGCACTAACTTCGCATACCCTTGCACCACAAGCCGTGGATGGAAAGTTATAGTTAAGGTAACTCCTTGCAAACTACCTGCAGAACACTCCATTGAAATGATCACAATTTTCCATATAATATACACCATGTAAGCGATGGGTATCAAAAATTCGTCTTATAACGATTAAATGCTTTTTAGATAAATTTCTTCTCACATTGCTCAGCAATTTGCGATAAAAGAAAACTTAAATTCAATTCACTCCAGCGTTAGTAGTTTATATATTTGAAAAAAAAAATTTCTTTTTTTTTTCGTGATAGTTTCTCGAATAGTTTGCAATTCTCAGTTAAACACTAGTAGCCTAGAATAGCGGACGAGAAGGAAAGTATGTTTTTACTAAAATACGCAACATTTTTAATCGTAAGCGTTATCGTAGATACCGTAGCACCGGCTTCATGTATTTCACGTGCCGGTAGTGATACAGAAGAAGAATTGTGCCACAACATCACTTGGGGAGCGTACAGTCCACGCGCTGTTCATCTCAGTAGGCATGTGGTTGCCGAAAAAGCAAAAACTATGCGTGTGATATCAAAAGATTTCTCCTATCGACCAAAGGTAGAAAAATTTCAAAAATTTTAAACTTTCCCCCCTTCCTCTCTCTGCCGCAAAAAAGAGTGACAAATTTTAAAATAAATTATATAACAAATATTCCACAGCCAGGCGAATTGGCATACGAACGCACCATCACCCAAATTATTGTTACAGATAACTATAGCAATGGTAATGGAGGCTACGCTACCCTAAAGGATGGCGGTCCCAGCACTTATTTCGCTTTAATACATTTGAAATCTCAACGTGGTCATGGCTTTAATTTCACAATTGATTTTTATGGTCAGTGAGAAGGTAGAAAAAAAAAAAAAAAAACAAAAAAAAAAAAAAAGCAAAAAAAAAAAAAAAAAAAAAAAAAAGAAGAAAATAAAATAACAATAAATAAATTTATGTAAATTCATAAAATGAAATTTTAATTAAAAATAATAACAATATTTTGTACGTAATAACGTATGTAAAGGTATGCGTGGTGCATACGCATAACTACGTATATACCAACAGGAATACGGGAATGCAATCTCACATGCATACGATGTATATACGATGCCAGTGAATTTCATTGAAAATAATGAATATTTGCCAAACATGCAACATGTAATTATTATCGGAAATACAGATTTGTGTCACATTTATGCATATTTCTGTAATATACATAAATTTCTTCTTTTTTTTTTTTTTACCATTCACCTGCTAAATCAAAAATGACAAATTTCCCTTAGAAAAAAAAAAAAAAAAAGAGAAACAAAAATGCATGCAATTGCTTATTATTTTACATAACATGCGTTTTAATATTTCGTTGACCCAAATAGAAATAAGCGAACTAATCGAATTTTTGGTACACACGAGGACTAATTAAAAAATTGGGGGAATTTTTCAAATTTCCATAGCAACATAATTTCATTTATTATATTCGCGTCTCAAATAGCACTCTATTCTATGCCGACTCATTACGTTGCCCATCGAGTGCGTGTACTTTCTTTTTTTTTTTTTTTTGTAATATAGTTAGTTGTGATAGCCCAGTTCAAATAATATTTTAAATTGAATTTAAATTCATTATACCCTACATACCCATTTGTGAGTACACTAACTTTTGTATGAATGTATGCAGCATGCAGAAGGTCATAGGATAGATCCAACTTTTATTATACCGATCGATTCACAATCATTTTCTGCATCCATCTACTTGTCTGTCCTTCTTGTTTGCTACACTAGCTGCTTTTGGCTCAACGACGAAAGCTATTGAAAATGACTCAAATCGGACTAATTTTTCCCATGTAACGCCTTATTTTGAAAAATCGATCTATGGATAACGGGGGGACGGAAGCTATTTGCAGATAGGCCATGCCCCACTTTAATGCTTTTACCTCTTGTTTATATTTAAATTATTCTTCTAATCAAGTAGGTAGCATTTCTTTGAAATGAATATCGAGGATCGAAAATTGACTTGATAAACATACGAACAAACACTTGCGATGCTACGATTAGTCTCGCGAATTGCGTCCTTCCGATATTGCCATATTAGCGACAAGCAATAGTAATTTTTTGGTATTACATTCGTCGAAACTGCCGATCTTCTAGCATTGTGATGTGTTACCATACCTTGATAATGTTAAAATGTTACTTCACTTTCACTCATTGCTCATCGGTGGTCGAGTGGATAAGTACCGCGACTACCAAGTCAGTGTTTGCAGGTTTAAAACGTAGTGTGGTAGAGCAGACACGAACATACCTGTTGTGAGTGCTCAGTTGATAACATTTACCAATTTGGGCACGCATCCACTAAACTGCCGCCCCTCCTTGTCGAAGATATTATGTATTTTTACTTTGCGCCTGCTATGATAAGCTGAAACTTGGAAGGAATTTAAAGAAACTGATCTCACATAACCTCATAAAAGAAACAAATAAAAATCGATTGCATCTAAAAAAGCATTCGACTTGAATCTCATTACAATCATTCATACAACGAAAAGGTACATATCCTTTGCACATTTGGTTTGTGCCTCAGAGAGTCTGAGTGAACTGCTTCCTTAACAATTTTTGGACTAAATAATGCTACACGATTTTCCGCGTCAAGAACATTGGAAACAAGTTTTTTTTTCAATTACTTTCTAATTTCACAAGTCAAATAGAGTCTCCGGCAAGGGTTAGATCTGCTTTTAGTTCTTCTAGAATTCAATAAGTCCACAAAAGTCGATCCATTATCCTGAGCAGAAATTCAATGGGCTCAGTGATCTGGACAATCGTCTTTTTTCCTCCACTTTCGACATAAGGTTAGCTTTGAAAGCTTCTTTGGCATCCTTTGCATTATTTGGAAAGATTTGCTTTCCTGATAGACGAGAATCAGCAATCGATTCTGTATTTGTAAACCCGCGCTATGCGAAATTCATTGCACTTACATGGAGAGGTCGACGTCCATCAAGAAGCTTCACTTTAAACTCGTTTTATGTTTTTAATATCCAGCACTGACGGATAGAAACATTTTCGTTCTGTATGCAACAGCCAAAGGAAGCTTCACGGACATCATAAAATATATGCTTTCCTGATCAGTGCTAAATTTCAAATCGATTTAGCCATGTCGGTCCATCTGTTCGTTTTTGTCTATGCTTATGCGGAGGTGTGCTGTTGACATCCTCCTCGGCTTTAAATGGCAAGTTCTTGTTAGTATTGAAAATGGCCAAAATCGATCAAAGGTCGGGACTACAACAAAGAGCAAACTGAAAATACTACTGCTTGCGGGCTTTTGCTGATTATATATAAATTATAACCAGATAGATAGATGAGAAAATCAATTTTAAAGGAAACGCTTCTCTTTAAATGCTTAGGCGTACAAAAATCGGGAATAAAAAGAGAATTGTAGCGCTTGCCTTTGTACCTATGTATGAAAATCTCGTTCAATTTTTCGCTCAGTCCTCGAAAAATCACCAGCAAAAGCTTTACTCTATGCTTGACAAGTATGATGACTATTAATTTTAATTTGTTTAATAATTTTAAATTTATATGTATATGAATTGGTTTTCCAAAATGATTCTCATTACATTATGTTATTTTTGGTTTTGTTCTTCTCTAAGCCAAAAATTCATTCATTAGAGATTAAGCAAATAATGCCAATGGTTGAAAACCACTACTCTCAAAATACATATTATACACGCGTACACGCATCTGCATCCATCCATATATTCATACGATTGTTGATTCATATCGACTGAACGACTGCATGCATGCATTCGAGTCAGTTCAGTTTTGAATTGTTTCATTTATTTCAAAATTTCAAATTAATTGACATGATATTGCGGTCACTTGATATATTGGGATCTCATGACGTAATTCGTTATACGTAACAATCAATAAATAAACATTTGATCGCCTAGAGTATTAATAATAAACGATTTTGTAACGAATATTTAATCGCAATTATAATTAAATTAAGTTTAATTTTAAACTTTTTAGTTCGTTTACTAAAACAATGCGTTCGTTAATAGTAAAGATAATAACAAATACAAAACAATATATATAATAATTTTAATCACAAAAATATATGAAATCATACTTTATTGAACATTAGATTGCCCGACGGTGGGTGCACATCTATTTTTGTATGAAGTGTGTGCATCAATGTGCGTTAAATATCAAAATTTGAAGATTTTTAATATAAAATAAAATTTTATTTAAATATAATTTTTTTTACTTTTATCACAGTTTACTAAAAACACTCGCTTTTTGAAGCATATTTTCCGCAGATTACCTTAGTACATTTAGCATAGACGGCTGTACTTGCATCTCTTTCGCATGACTGAATGCTGAAATTTATCTGCTTTATTCGGCAAGTATTGGATAGATGGCTACCTGGCTTTAGTTGAGAGCAACCACTCATCCGGACTTACAACATTCGTGGTTGTTGTCAGTAAATTTTTCTCATATCTTATTATTGAATGGTACAATTTGACTCACACCCGTCAAATTTTGTAAAACATTTATGGATTTTTCGAGCCAACGCTTGGAGAGGGAAAGGGTTTAGTATTTGTGTTTACATTTAATAATCAACACATGTTTTAAACAAAAACAATTGCAGTTTTTCTCAATACATAGCAATCAAATCATCGTAAATGACTCAGTCCAGTTGACTTGGTCCGGCATAAAACGTGACTTATCGATAGAATTGCGTCAGGCTGTAATCGTTATTGAAACAAATGCAAAAATTGAAGCTGCGCTCGCGGATCCTAAATAATTATTATTATCGTCCACCACCATCCTCTAGCAACGCCTTAGAATAGATTTCCGTAAATTTCATATATTCAGTCTCTGCCAAACGCCATTACTTTTTGTCTAGTGTACTTTTGAAAATCTTTCCTTTTCCTTCTTTTTCTTTCTTCTCCTCTTTGCACCCATTACCGAAGGATGAGGGGTGTAGTCATTTTGTCAAAACGTTTTCAAAGCCCAGAAGCAAGAATCAGAGACCCCGCAAAGTAATCATATTCTTGATTAACATCAAATTCTAAATCGATTGCGTGCCGGTCCGTCTGTGTGATGTATGTTACAAATATTCGTCTGACCGCAAAAATAAAGCCATCAACTTCAAATTTGGCAGAAACATTGTAAGATCATCCACGCAGCTTGGTGCTAAAAACGGGCCAAATCGATCGAATGACACGCCTGCAGTACCACGTGAACTGAAACTCCGTTCTTCAAAAGGAATAAAAAATTAGTTTTTTGCTCATTACTCATAAAGTACAGCCGATGAATTTGAATCCACACTGTAGTACGTCTACAAAAATGGCCACGCCTACCTTAATTTATAGTATGTTATATTTGCAATGTATTCTCAAAACCCTAATAACACACAAAAACAAGCTTCAAAAACCCCTTAAAGTATATAAACTCTTGGCCAGCTTCAAGTTCGGAATGCATCTAAGCGTATCCGTCCATTCATTTGTTCGTCTGTCTGTTTGCGAAAAACTAGGTGGTATCTGTGGTAATTGTCAAAACGGAAGAACCAAACGTAGCGAAGACTACATCTACAAAGCCTGCACGTCTATGTAACAGAAACTATGAAAACCTTTGTTTTCCCTGTTAGTTCTTATCGTTTTTCCTAGGATTCGGGTACGACGGAATGTAATTTTCTTACTTATTTTCCTTTCCTCTTCTTTTCCTTCGTTCCTTTAAGATTATAACATATGAACAGCGAATGTAAGCAGATGAGGTTGAGCGAGCTCCATTTAACGTTTATTCTAGAACACATGCCTGTCTCTATATCCTCTACTAACAAGTGAAGTGAAATGTGAAGAAGTGAAAA